TGTACCCTCTTTTAAGTTATTTTACACCCAAAGCCCAGCCTAGCCCTTGTGGAGTAGACATCTGTCAGGACAGCTGCCTGGAGGCTGCATGCTGGAGACGGATGGAGGCAGGGGTGCAGAGAGGGACTACACATTTACCTCTGAAAGCCTGCCATGAAAGATTGTCTGGATTTCTGCTTAAAAGTAGTTTATTTATAAGATGAACTAGCTGAATTTGATACCACTGCATATATTCATTACCAAAATTTGATGTCATCTTTCCAAGCTCACCTTTTAATTTATAATTAAAGCACAAAGAAATAGGTTTACAAATGTAATATAAGCACAAATGTTGCATGTAATTGTAAAATATCAGTACATGATAAAATTGGACATACTATGTGGCTTCATTTGGATGAAATTACTTTAATTAAAATGAGAAAGCATTGAATAATCTTAGAAGTCTGGATGTGCAGCAAAGAGCAGAATGGGTGAGAGTGAGCTTTCTGTAATGAGCTCTCCTGACCAAAATGGGACTTAGTGGCATATACGGTGATCCATCAGGGGTGCCATCTGTCTATGGGAATTCATTGGTAAAGTAAGGTCCTCTTAAGTTAACCTTTCAGGGCTCCTTGAGCAAAGGATAGTTCTTACCAATGATGTATTTGGAACACAATGCTCAAATACTTCATATATGAAACAATAAAATGACTTAAATTTCCTTGTCCAATTTTATGAAACAAACATCACTTGAGATGCTCTATCTTAGGGGAAAGAAAACTGTTCACTAAGCACCTACCGTATGCAAGATACAGTGCTGAACATCATCGAATTATATGCAAGTGGTATCATTTTGTTTTTATGACTACTATATAAACATTAATATTCTCAGTTCACAGATGAAACCAAGCCATGTTCTTGGATTATATAGATACCAAAGATCTGTTTTTCACAGTCAGGAATCATGTGATTCTGGGCTTGATCTTATTCCCTGAACTTCTGGTTATTTTTACTATAGAAGTTTAAAGAGAAAAATCAGTTAAATATTTGGGAGCAGAAAATGTTCCTTATGAATATGCATGCCTTATCTCTCAATGCCTTAGGTAGGGACACCTATTTGTCTTGGAAATGAATGGTACTAGTTTTCTTAATAGCAGAACTAATGATGTGTGGCTAGAACACAATCAGAAACCATACTAGCAATAAAATCATGGTCTACTTTATCATATAGTTCTTTGATATGCATAGTCAACAATGTACTGAGAATGAAAAATGGTGCTTCACAGGTAGGACTAGTCTCCTTACAGGAAAGCAGAAGTACAGGATAAAAGTATAGCCAAGATAAACATTCCTGGGATGCCTTAGGCAGAGGGTAAGAAGAAAAGGGAACCGAGGCAGCAATTGAGTTTTGAAGGGTTTATCTGGACTGTGGAGAAAGGACAAGAAGTCAGAAGGACACTATCGGTCTAGGAAATGATTATATTTTCTCATTATTATGCTTATAATGGTAAGGGAGGCAGAAACTGGAGATGATGGCAATGATTAAGAACAAATATATTTCTAGGGAATGAGGACATGGGAGAAGAAAAAACCTGAGATTATGTCAGAAGGAATTAGGTTCTAAAATAAGTTTAGAACTTCAACTGTTAAGCATTTTGGGGAACAGAGCTTCAAAGCATCACCCTCCAAACAGGTTACTAAAGTAAGAGGTAGAGCCCATGAAAGCATAAAGAAGTAAGGCCCAGTGTTTGGGGAACTCATTGGCAGGAGATCAAGTTGAGTGGAAAAGTGCAAACCAGACCATCATAGTCAGTGTATGTCTGGCAGTAACCCTCAGTTGTAGATTGTAGGTGTGGAGGTAAGCATGGTTTTAGTTTGATATATACCAGGATACAGATTGCTACTAAATAGAGAGAGTGAATAAGAATCAACAGCTTTATTGTGTAACCACAGCACCTCAATTTTTAAAAACTACCATGAATAAAGCATTAATAGTAAAGACGGCTACATGGCTCACATGCTGCATTTTATTATTTATGTAACATTTCTGATTGGCCAACACATTTCAGTATATCAGGCAACATACTCAGTTCTAGAGAGACAGAAAAATTAGTCACAATTACTGGCTCACAATCCAATGTGTGTGTTTACATGAGAAGGGAGAAGAGGGAGGCCATACAAATACCATGCATGTGGCAAAGGAGTTGTGATGTACGGAGTGTGGAAACACCAAGGAGAGAAGAGCTAGCTTAGCAGCTGCAGTAAAGAACAGAAGTAGTCACTGAGATTCCCATTCTCCACCAGCCTCCAAGTGCCCTTGTCTTTCACTTCGTTATTTTCATATGATTGATCATATATAACCAATGCCTTAGTCCCTCACTTAGCTGATCAATTTGTAGTGTCTCCACATAATAAACTATCAAAGAAGAAAGCCATGATAGTATGATGAAACACCATCTTTTAAGGACAACTATTTCTTAGCATATAGAGGCAGAGTTTAAAACACTGTTCTTAAAGCTGTGCTCTAATATAGACAAATCAGAAGACATTAATCTAATAGGACAGTGTGAGTCCATTCCTCAAACGGCAGTGTGAAAAATGAACACTTGGTCCACAGTGGTACATCTGCACACAGCTGAACTTCAGAATTATTTGGAGAGTTTGATCTTCAAAGTGTAACTCCTTAGGCTTTATCATAGACCTTCTGAATCAGGAATTTCAGGAGAAAGTCCAAGGTTCTGCAGTTATAGAAGCCTCAGAAGGAGACACTGATGCTCAGCCTAATGGAGTGACCAGTGTTCTAAGAGGGTCTTAAAACTCAGACTGAAGCACCATAGCTATCTTTGTGGATTCTATCCATCTTGTAGCTGTCTCAGCCTCTGGTTTCCCTGCTCCCGCAGTCCTGATACCAACCTGTTAGGGCATTCTTTCTAAATGGATCCTCTGATTATGCTATGTGCCTTCTCAGAGTTACTCAGTTTCCTCTGATCTGCAGAGCTCTTAAACACACTGTACACATTCCCCCTGCCTTGCCTTTGGCTATGGCATTATGCCTATCTGTTCATAATGACAGCCTAGTTCTGACAGCTGACTCATGTGAGCTAACTCTTATTCCACGTTGTGACATTTGACTGCTCACCTACATCATACTTCTTATGTAGAATCATAATTTTTGTTTTTGAATATTATAAGTATTTGCTGTACGAAAGAATGAATTTTTCTTTCTCTGTGGCCTTTTCTGCAAAACATAGGCTTCCATGACAAGTATTTGAAAATACCCAAAGAGCTGAGATCCAGTGACTGGATATTTGAAAGCACTAAAAGGGAGAGTGATGGGTTGGACTGCCTTAGAACATTACAGAGGACTTGGTCTCGATCAATCACTCTCTCTAATACCAGCACTTTCCCTGGCTATACCCTCTCCCAAACCACTGGCTTTCAAGTTATCTTTTATCCTAAGCAATTTGCATAATATTACCTAGATTTCTCAGTAAGATTTGGAATAAAGGAAAATAAATCCATCTTCTATCTTGAGTTCAGCTCTATAATTGCAAGATTTGCACAGAGGCTGAAAACTTCCACAAGCATTTATTTGCCCTTGGGTGAGTTGCCGATTCTCTGGAGCAATCTTCTCCTCTTTTGCATGCACAGAGTAAGGTAGCAGAGATGAAAGACAGCTTTGAGCTTCAGCTACAAATCAGAGCAGAAGGGTGATGCTGGACAGCCTCAGAATTATAACTGATCCAGCTTGGCTCAGCAGTGACTGGAAGTAGGTCAGAAAATGGCAGTGCTGGAGTCCAGACTGTGCGGGAGAATACTACATCTTCTTTAATATTCTAACAGCTTCTTGTCTTGTTCCCTAAAGTTTTACTCCTTTTTGCTCTTTCTGTAGTTTTTAATCTTTGTATGCATAAAGAGACAAAAATAGCTAAGAAATTTTTGATATAGAAAAGTGATAACAGAACTTAAATTATAAGATAATAAATGTATTTAAATCTTAACAATATTTATAACACCGAGGTAATTTTTCAAGAAGAGACAAACAGATCAATAGCTCAGAATGTGAAGCCCAGGAAAACAAACTAACATAAATTAAAATTAATAACTGACAAATGAACATTCAAATTGATAGTGAAAGTAAGAAACTATTTAATTAATTTTCTTGAGGAAATTGTCTATCAGGAGAATTTGGTTAATTTGCCACCAGAATAAATACTTGCTGGGAGAAAAAAGTCAAAATGTATTTTTAAAAGAGTAGTCACAAAACAATTGAGAGGAAACAGAGAATAATATTTATTTGCTTTGGCAGATGGGATAACATTCAAATAATGAAAATTACAAAAGAAATGACAGAAATGGATGATTATAACAAATACCATTTAAAACACTGTACATGAAAAGCAACATAAGGATAATTAAAATTCATGAAGAGGACAAATACAAGCATTGGGAGAGTATTCTAAAAATACATAGAATTTATATATACAAATAGGAAAGCACTAATGTCCAGAAGTGAAAAGGACAAAGCACACACAAAAATAATCCACAAATGACCAAATTCAAATGGCTAATAAAGATATGAAAGGCTTTGTTTTGTTTTGATTTCATTTTGCCTTTTGAGTTAAAGAGAGCAAATGAAAATAACATTCATGGTAGTTTTCAGTGCTAGCAATGGTATGTAAAGATTAGCATACTCAGACACTAATGTGAGAGAGTGTATAAATTAGTAGAGGCATTCTAGGTGCAGTTTGGTATTAGGAGTCTCAATAACACGCAACTCCTTTAACCCTATAATCCCGATAATCAGAATTGTAAGTTTCCGTCAAATATTTATAGAACTATTCATTGTGCGTTCATTTTTAGTAATAAACAATGAGAAACAACCTAAAATGTGGTGCATCAATATAAAAAAGTATTACCTACCTACTCATGAAGATTTCCAGTATGTTTCTGAATTGTTTTTACATCCTTCTGACTAGGAGAAGAGTTGACAAACACTACCCAATGTCGTTATGGTGGAATTGAATCATGGCATCTGCTGGTGAGATACCAGCTATGACTACATCTGCAGAGAGTGGCTATCATCCAGCAAGAGATGGTGCAGGTGGTCCTCCTGGACCTAGAAAGAATTTGAGAAACATTTCAGAAATAAAACTTGCAAAGCTTGGCAGCCAGCTGTGGATGGTCTGGGAAAGAGATGGAAGATGTTCAAGAGATGCTGGCATTTATAGGTCAATGAGCTGAGCTGATGGAATCAATAACCAAGGCTGTGAGAATGAGGAAGGTAACTAGGCAGAAACCACCAGTTTCCAATTCCTTTTGGAACTGACAAATGAGAAAACAGCTACAGAGAGATCTGACAGTTCATCTGCATAAAAGATGGATGGAATTAACATTTGCGGAGGTCCCTACTCTGTATATATCAAACCTATTTCTTATTCTATTTAATTCTCATGGCAGGTAAATAAAATTTTTAGATTTAAGTGCTCAACAAACATTTCTTGCTTGTCTGCTATATTTCTGACTTTATTTTAGGTGCTAGGGAGCTGGAGACATAGATGTGATTGCAATATACTTCCTCCTTGCGATGGAGTTAAGTAGTATGTATAATATTACTTAGCAGCAGAGGATGAAAAATGTAAGCCTATTTTTTTTATTTTCTTTAATTTTTGTCCTCACTTCAAAGCCTCACTGCTATACCAGTCTTATTTCTTTTCTTCTGTTCTTTGAAATTATTTTTTAGGTATACATATCATATTTACATATATTGTCTTTATAAAAAATAAAAACACAGGAAAATATAAAATACCTTTCAGCTTCACTTGTTCCCTTTTCTTTTGCCTCAGATAACCACCATCATCAATTTTCTATATATTTTCCAGACATTTTTCAGAGCATTTAATACAAATATAACTATAGAGAATAATACTTGTTTTCCATATAAACACGGATATTTTGTCTCTAATAGACTGAAACTTTTTATAATCAGCAATATATTTTGAGCTCTTACTACATGAGTGTATTTCAATTTAGTTTATTTTTTTCAACTACTCTATAGCAATTGTGTAAAGTAATTTATTTGCCCAATATAGTCCTTAAGAAATAAAACAGTATCAATTCAGCTGAAAGCAACTATGTATACCACCCTGATCAAATATTCTGCTTCCTTATCAGAGGGATGGTGATAAATTAACAAGCTTGGGAATTGCATTTTGTTTGGACTATCCTTGAGTGACAGTTGGGTACAGGATTACAGGCTTCTGGTTTCCTCACACCATTCTGATGATATTATTTTACTAAGTTCCAGTTTTCCATTGCTGCTACTAAAAGCATCTGTGGTCCTTGTAATTTTTGTTCTTGCTTAGACTGTTTCACTCTCACCTGCTTTGGAGTTCTACAGTTTCACTATGACTGTGCTTCTATGAATTTCTGGTGGTTATGTTATTGTTACAATTATTGACCCCTGAAATCTCAGAATTAATATTCTTAATTTATCTTGTTTAGAATTTCAAGAAGTGTCTTCATCAAATTCTAGAAAATTGAGAATTGCCTCTTTCACTTATATTCTATTAATTCTTCTGAAATTCAGTGAGATATATATTAGAACTGCTCACTTGTCCATAGATATTAATTCCCCTTCATATTTAAAAAATTCCTTTTTCTGTGTTGTAATTTTGTTGAGTTTTTTCGAATATATATTCTAATTTAATAATTATTTTTTCAGTTATGGCTGATGTACTTTTCAGCCTACATTTTTATTTTAATGTTTATATTTTTATTTCAAAAAATTTTTTAAACAGTCATAATATTTATAATAATCTCTTATTCGTTCCTGTAGTATTCAATTAATTTTCTTATGTTTTAAGCATTTTGGACATATTCCTTTTCTAGTTTGTTTTTGTTCATCCTAATATCTGAATTATTTGAGCTCTAAATCTGGTTTTCATTGTGTGTTCTTATTCTTTCTCACAGTTGCTTGTTTTGTTTTATTAACTTTTTATTTTTTATTCAATTCTGATTCGTCTAAATCTTTGGGAATATCAAGAGTCTGGATTGAGGGTACGTTTGTCTAAAGATAATTTGTATTTTACTTTTCCAGGTGCAATCAACCTAGAAAGTAGTGGGAGTGACTTCTGATGAAAGTGGGGGGTTTTTTGGTGAGGTTGTGTTTGGGGGAGGCAAATTATTTAAAGTTAGATAGTTGCGGTGTTTGCATAACTCTTGAGTATACTAAAAACTGCTAAATTTCATATATAAAGAGGTGAATTTTATGGTATGTGAATTATATCTCAATGAAGCTGTAATACAAAAATTAGCCAAGAGGAGGTTGAATCAACTCTACACTCTCAGTCGAACTGTCCTTCAACTAGTACCAACATGTGGAGCTGTCCAGTGGAAAAACATGTGTCAGGTCAAAGAGTATGTCCTCTATCAACAATTCAAGAAAAGAGGGGATGAAGGCAAGGTCAAAGCTCAGCATCCTAGTCAGAAAGCAAAGTTTTAATTTTTCTTCAGCTGTTTATCAATATCTGCTTCATTAATAACAAGTCTCTACATTTTTGCCAACGCTGGTTTATTTTATTTAATATTTGCTAATATAATAGATTTTAAAAAATCTTTCTCAGTGCTTTTTAATGTGTTTCTTAGATTACTGTTGTGCCTGAAGTGTTTTTTATATTAGCTATTCTAAGTTTTTATTTTTAAAAATGAATTGTCTTTTAAAATCCTTTACCCATGCCCTACCATAAGACTTTTTCTCTTAATGAGATTTGAGAGAGATTCATAGATCAAAGATTCCAGTCATCTGTCATATACTGCAAATATTACATTCTAAATTGCTTATTGCTTTCAGTCTTATTTATAATAACTTATAACTTCTATTTCAGGATTTTATGTATAGTTCTTTATCACAGGACATCAGCAGTGTTTAGTTGAGTAGGTACTTTTAAAAATAATAAATATTTATATATTTACATTTATTTAAGTATTTCTTTAAATAAGAAATTCAACAAAGCCATATGGGACATAAGGAAAATGTCAAAAAGAAAAAAAAAAAAAAGAAAGAACAACAACAAAATAAAAACCACAATTTTACATTTAGTACACATAAATCAAAATTTACATAGCAATAACAGGGTCACAACCTATTCAAAAAAATTGCAGACTTTTTAGAGCTGAACTTACTATAGAACTTAATAGCTGTCTCTGATGTAGAGATGGCAGTAAGATTTTCCTGCTAAAATAACAACTGCAAAGACAGTTTTGGGATGCAAAGGATTACGTGTTTTTATTTAGTTGCAGGAAATAGAAATAGAAACATTTTTATTCTTAGCGACTTTTCTTTTCCTGTCACCAGCCATTGGAAGGACTACAATGTGAAGGCTGAGATAAATGATCTTATTAGTGACTACTGATAGGAGTAGGGGTCCTGGAATGTTTTGTGTCTACACTGGCCCGCCTGGCATCTGACTTCATCTACACTGGCTGGGCAGCACTAGAGTTGAAGATAGAAAGAAACACATTAAGCAACTTTTAATTGTGGATATTTAAAAAACATTTGGTTATCAGATACTTTCCTACTCGAAGATGGTAGGAAACAGGTTCTAATAGGGAGAAGAAACAAGAAAGTGGCCTAGTGCACAACGATGCAGGCTTTAGTCATTACAAGTGTAGGGAGGGGAAGACAGGGAAAGAAGAGTATAGTAAAAACATACCACAAGATTAGCAAAATCTTAAAAGTTGATGAGATTGCTGAGCAACAGGAGTTCTCGTACGTGGATGGCGGAAGAGCAAACTGATCAAAAACCTTTAGAAAACTCTTTGGCAGCATCCACAGAAGCTGAACATCCTTATTCAGCAAGCCCCCTCCCAGTCATAGTCTTCAGCCAGCAGAAGCATACGCCTGCATGAACTAGTGCCCATGTCCGCAAAGAACTAGCCACTCTCTAATCCTTTACCTTGATTTCACAGAGTGTGATACTTTCAATAAGATTCTTAGTGACAGAGAAAGATAGATTAACGTTGCTATTGGAAGGCTCTATTTGGTTTATTTGTTTATTTTTTCTTGCTCACGTTATTAAGAATGGACTCACAGAAATAAACTGCTGGGATTTCAAATCCAGTACTCTATCATGAAGTGCTTGAACACAACAACCATGCCTCACTTCCTTATTGTTCATCCCAAAATCTAGGAAAGTGCAGGCATTTTTCAGGAACTCAATATATAAGTAAGTGCTGAGTATAAGCTTCTCAGATGACAGGCTTACACGCTCCATTAACAACCAAAAAGCAAAAAAACAAAACTCAAAGCAAAAACCTTCAAATTTTCCTAAACGAAAATATAAAATTAAAGAGATTTTGTGTATTACAATCATTATGGTATTTATTAAATGTGCCATAAATATTTTATACCATTTCTACTAGTAATTGATGACTTTTACTATGTTTTTGATGCCTCACAATGAAACAAATTATTTGGTGGTAACAATGTATTTTAAATTACCATATTGAATATCCTTTATACTATAACAGAAATTTTGGGGAATGAGGAGAAAATTTGCTCTAGGTTTTTTTTATGATGTAAATTTATCATGGGATTCTCTTAAATGAGGGGCTTGTCAGGGTGGTTGAATCGGAGGTCTCTGTTTTAGTGGTGCTTTCCCCAACCCCGCTCCCAAAATAGCATCCCTAGTTCATCTATTCTTCTGCAACTTTACACTGTATTACATATTTTTATTTGCCCATGTTATCTCTCCACTAGTAGAATATAAACTCCTTGAAGACACTTTGTCAATTATGTTCATTGATGTATCTCAAGCTCCTATAAATGCTAGTGACCTAAGAACTTACCCATCAACCCTCAGAATATGTCTCTATCCAGTTTCCTTTAGGGGCCTTGAGATAGGGCTGCTTCCAGCAGCTCTCTAAGTTCTCAGCTATGCTGTTTATTCTCAGTCCTTGGCTGCAGCAACAGCGCTCTTTCTCTTTTCTTTTCTTTCTTTTTTTTTTTTTTTAAATTGTGCTTTCAGTTCTAGGATACAGGTGCAGAACGTGCAAGTTTGTTGCATAGGTATACACATACCATGGTGCCTTGCTGCACCCATCAGCACTTTCTTAGTA